GAGAGAGAGAGAGAGAGAGAGAGAGAGAGAGAGAGAGAGAGTAATAACTCAAAGTCGTGTCCACGATACTACGAGTAAACAAACGAACGTGTAGTAGCAAAAATAAAAACATCACTCTAAATCCATATCACATATCAGCTGTATCAGCAATTACCACGAGCGAGATTGTGCAAAAATTAGCTTTAAATTCATCGACAGTATGTGCACTGCGAATTTTTTAGGAGAAATATTTAGCGAAATCGCACAATAAGATCTCTTGTAGAATTCAGTTTTATATAGAGGCAGAGAGAGAGAGAGAGAGAGAGAGAGAGAGAGGGGAGGAAAGACAGAGAAATAAACTGCGGCGACTTCGACTGCGGGAAACTTAATTGTCGAAAAATAAAGAGGCGCCAGCCGTTATTGCCGGGCCTCGACATACCTATCGTGAGATACTGCTGAGATCCTGTCTCGTATTGTTCCCATGTGAGACCGCGGAATCGCGTCTTCTCCTTCGGTGTGCCGTAGTCGACCGACTCGATCTTGTGCGGCTCGTTCGGGTTGCCGGTCTTGGCGAAATTGGTGAAGAAGGTGAGGACGGCCTCCGCAACGCCCTGGTCTTGTCGGGAATAATTCCGCGGGAAGAAAGCCCCGCCTGCCACCAGCGGCAGCCCGAAAATGTACGGTATGTCCTCGCCACGCACGCTCCCCAACCGCTGCAATGAGACTTTCCGCTCGAGGAGCCGCCGATATCGTTCCATAATTGACGACGAGGGAGAACTTGAACTCGGCGCGACTGTCTTCGTCGCCGATACTCGCGACCGGCAGACTCGCAATTCGCGTCATTAGCAATTTACGGTAATTGTCGCGTCGTTAATTAAGAGAGGGCCCAATAAGAGCTTACTCACGGATTTCGTAGCGCGCCGAGTTATTTGTTATTATCTAATTTTTATTGCGCTATAAAATCCGTGCGCTGGCTCGTATCGACCTTTCGCTTAATTACTTTTGGATATTAACTGAGTCTTAAATTATTTATTTCACTTAATCGCCTCTGTATATTGACAAGAGCCTGGAATTATTATTTATTTCCCTATCGTACTATATTGTGCGCGTCGAAGTTGGCTCTCGTAAGCGTTACATTAAAGAGAGCGAATCAGCTCCGGAGCTTCCCAGGCGGCGAGAATCCGCGTCGTTGCGCTCGCGAAACTTCGTGTCACCCTCGTGACTCTTCCATTAGCGGCACGCGTGGGGCGCGAGGAGGAAGGAGAGAACGCACGAGGCGGCCGCAGGAGGAAAGCCGCGATTAACAATTCAAATAAATTCATCGCATTTGCATTGAGCGTTCTTGATATCGCTTTCTTATCTTCCTCCTCGCGCGGCTTTCCCTGCCTTTTGTCTCGCCTAATTCATCTCCTGCCCCCATACTTCTTTCTCCCATCCTCTTTCGCTCCTCCGTCGCACTCCGTCCGCGTCTTCCCGGAGCGGCTGGTAAACTCGCGCGGAATAACGACGACGACGACGACGTTTTGATTGCAGTAATAACGGGGGCGGCGGTAGAGTTCCCACTCGCGCGGGTGGGCGTGCGGGACGAATACGAACTTATTAAAGGAGAAATCTTTCAGCCCGGACGCTTAATTAAATTTCGTTTCGCATACGCGCGACCCGAAACGCGCCGTGACGCTCTGAATCGCCGTGAACCGCGCTCGCATCAGAATTAAGGCTCGTGCCTGCTGATTCTGTAACTTTTAACGACAGTGTCGTTATCGTTACGCTGTCGTTGCGCAGCTTTTCAACCATGTATTATACCCGTGTAACGACAACATAACGACACTGTCGTTAAAAGTTGCAGAATCAATAGGCTAGTTTCTCGTTGCGAAACTTTCGAGCGAGAACGTCAGAAGCGAGGAAACGCGTGCCCAAAATTCTTGCCGAGATAGAAGGACGTGACGAGATAAAAGGAAAGTGATACTTGGGATCGATTGAGCGCATTCGTAAAATGTTCCTTTCCCTTTGTTCTAACAATCGACGAATAATCGTGAAATTAACGTGAGACACGCAGCCTTTCTTTTTAATCTGCTTTTCCTTGTGATTTTGTCAAGTTAATTTCACGGCTATTTCTTGATTGTTGGAGTAACAGGAAGGTTTTCGGAACAAATGTAGTCAATCGATATGGACATAATCTTTTATTTCGACATATACCGCAAGAATTTTGGACATGTGTTTTGTCCCATTTCGTTCGCGACCTACTTATCCTCCGGATAATTGATTTTGTATCTGACTTTTTCAATATCCCTCAGGGCATGAAATTTCCGAGCCTCTTTTTTTCGACGCGCCTGCGGAGCGGGGAAATTGAAAACGTCAATCTGTTTTCCCAGTCGCGGATTTAACCGCGTGAGTACCGCCGGTAGCGACCTTACAAATTGGCCGATATAACAATTTCTTTCTTACCTTCTCGATATTATTATGTCAAGCTTGACAAATCCCTGTCATCGCCTAGACAAAACGAGCGAGCCACGGCGGCCGGGTCGCACGAGGCGTTTTATTAAATCAACGTCTTCATCGCGAAGTCATGGCCAGCGGTTACCAGCGGGTATAGATCGACCAGAAGTAGAGTGAGACGGATGGGATATCGCGAGAAGTGACGCGAGGAGGATAGGGAGGCAGAGAGATAGCGCGTGTCAGGAAGGGGTTGAACGGTTGCTACCTTAACTGAGGGTGCCAGCGAACTCGAGGTGTCGAGGGCGAACGTTAGTCTCTCTTCGGGACGTCAAGTTAATGGAGTTAACCCGGACTTAAGCAGCGTCCTACCCCTTCTGCTCACCCTCTCAGCCTTACGTCGTTAGTACGGCGGAAGTGAGAAGCAGGGATACGCCGTTTTGGAGTACGGAATGGCCGGTGAAGACCGGCAGTATATTTTCGCTTATATACCCAAAAAGCATAATCTCATTCTTGGCGGAACTCTCTTACATATGGCCTCAAAAGGATTCTTCTGAGATCAAAAGGAAAATATTCGAAGCTCGACACTTGGGCTTGTATCAATAGTTGTTACTCGAAATTTGTCTCATGTGGGATACTCCAATTTCAATTCAGAGTTGAGGTTTTCGGTTAAGATATATGATGACATTATATTTGTAATCGTGATTCAACTGAAAAATTATTTAATCTCACTATTAATATGAACCTTAAAGTTAAAGGAATTTCGTTTTTTATTTATAGTACAGATTTTATCTTTAATAGAAATTTCTTAGTAAAAGAATATTCCGTTTTAAATAAATCTTTTTCTTGAAGCGAAAGAAAGAAAAATTAAGATAATATCTAGTAGATTTCTGATTGATAGTTCGTTAGAAGGGAGAATTTTTTCAGTAAAGAAAGAATATTTTTTTTAGTAAAGAAAGAATATGAGATTACAGCATCTTGGAACTAAAATTGTTTTATGTTAGAATATTTTCCTTTTGGTTTTAGAAGAATCCTCCTCTCGAGGCTAAGTAATAAAAAGAATCCCGCTAAGGATGAGATCATGTTTCAGTGTCTAAATGAGAACGCGACAGATCCAGTCGACTGTTTAAAAGTTTCCTTTTAAAAAATTTCAACTGCCTCTTCGCCGTTTATTTTCGCCCTCGGATCGTTGAAAAATCGCGCACGAGAGAGCCTCGCTGTTTAAGAGTGAGATCGCGATGCCGACATTGAAATCTCATGGCGCATTGCAGGGAAGAAATCCTCGTCACGTCGACTCCGAGTTTCCATGACGTACAGAGCGGATGGAACAATTTGTACCACGGGGGAAATCGAGATTACTAGGGTCGATGACGGGGCTCGCTTACTACCCACCTGCAAGTAGCCGCTGTCCTTGGACTGATGATTGAAGTGATAGAAGTACGTCTTGGCGCCCCTCCTCGCATGATAGAAGGCGATTCTCATGAGCGGCGCTACCGTGTGGCCATCGCTCAACGCCTCCATCGTCGAGTCCCTTATTATGATGGGATGAAGCACCGGCTTATCCCAGTCCGTGTACTCGTTCCTCACCGCCGAGAAGATCTCGTTCAGATGGTAGACGTAGGCGTTGCGAATGAAGGTGCGCAGAATGCGGTTCCGGTGATCCTCCTCGAAGCCGAACTGGATGTCGTTGGCGTTGAAATCGAGGTTGGACTCGGTTGTGGAGACGCCCAGGATCAACGGCACCTTGATGAATGCGTCGCTCGCCCGCTCCATGTCTAGGCCCGGGTCGGGATTATTTTGGTCCACCGGCAGACCGGGTCCTATGCGCGGAACGAATCTGAAAGCGCGTCGCGTTGATAAGTTGACATATTAATAAAGGTGCACGATACGCTATGGCTTTACCCGCGCAGAGCCGCGTAATTAGGATGAAACGCGCGACTGATCGCGAATAACGCGAGTAGCTCTCTCTCTCTCTCTCGCTCGGCGATCCGATCTCTTCCGCATCGGCCGAGATTTTTTCAATTCCGCGTCTCTGCTGTTCCGCGGGAACATAAATATTTCGCGCGGGACTCTATTAATTTCACGGTATATATCTCCCGGTGCGATCTGTCGTTAGGTTTCACGGTTACACGATTGCGGCAAACTTGAATTTATCGCGACACGGTTGGCAAAAAGCCTATGAAATTATTATAAATTTTGTGGCGCGCGGTAATGACAGGCCGCGTCGATCAGACGTCATTTCCGCGGCAACGCGGTATCAATCGCACTGCTCTTGCATCTATCCTTTTTATTTCGTGCAAAATCCGGCGTTTTTCGCTTTTCATTGAAATGCATCACTCTCCGATATTCGGCCGATGAATATGAATCGCGCCGCGTATCGCGTGATTCCGCAGCAATATTTATTACACCGACACGCTGTCGCAAATAAAAAAGAAATAAAAGGGAATATCAATCCGTTCCATTTGTATCAATTTCGGAAATGCATATTTTATCATTTTAATTTTCTCGTCGATTGCAGATGCGGAGAGTAAGAGTAAAAGCGAAAACAAAGAAGGAGAGAAGAGCGACAGAGAGTAAGAGAGACACACGCACCCACACAAAGATGGTGATCTGCTTTTACTTCCTCACGAATCCACGAGTCATCAGAGATGTTCTCACCTGATCTCCGGAAGCTGCACGTCCATCAGGGTCTCCAACGGCACTCCGCGAAGGCAGTTGGCGATGTCCTCATCGCCGTCGGTCGGGCAGCCTACTTGCTCGCCGATTTTGGTCCTGAGATCGTTCGGATCGTGCACCGAGGCCCAAGGACTCAGTGCCGAGCCGCTGGACAATACCACGCGATGAAATAATCCTGCGAAGAACAGAGGGTGTTCATCCACACACACACACACACATATAAACAAACACACACACATCAAGCCGAGCCAGACAGGTTCTCGACAATGGAAAGGCAGGCTCCCTTTGCGACGGTGAGCCCGCACATCGTATATATCGAATGCACGGCGAATACGGCGGGATATCATCGGCTTCCGGCCAATCGGGCGGAAGCGACGAGCCCGACGGGAGTTAGCTCGAACGGTTATTATCCCCGCATGGATAATTAGAGGTGGACGTAAATACACGATCGCGCGTCTCGAGCCTCGGGATTGTTTTTCACGCGGGTAGAATCAGGGTGGAAAATCCGGCGTATCGGCTCGCGATTATCGGGCGATTAAAAACTGTTACGCGGTGGACCGCGGATTGAATTACGTTAACGAGCCGTTACACCGCCGCTGGCGGGGCTAGAGGAGAAAGCGAAAATAGTAATTTTTAGCGTCCGATCGAATCTGCGAAGAGGGAATTCGTTGGAAGGTTACAATTAACATCGTCCGTAACACGCTCTCTTTTACTCCCCTTTTCTCTTTCGTTCTTTCGCTCTCTCTCTCTCCTGTTACAACGTTAAAACGCGGAAAATCGCCGCCGTCGCCGCCGCTGCCGCCGCTGCCGTCGTCGCTAATTAAAAAGGATCCTACGGAACGCAATTAATCTCGCTGTTAATGAGCTACATTTTATGACGTAGCGCGGCAAAATGTTTCGTAACAGCGCGCGTAATATCGCGTTTGATAGGATCGCGCGTACAGGCGGCGGGCGGAGAGGTAGCCGGTACAGGTAGCCGGTCGCGAACCGGAAAATCATATTCACTGGCAAACATTTATGCTGACGCTAAAGTCGTTTATCGAACGTCACTGGTTTCTTTATGAAAATCGCTGTTTCGAATGCAAACATCGCACGCGCGCCCGCGCGTGCTCGTCCTGCGGCAAGGAGAAATATTACGCAATATGTGTCCAACATAAACATTCGCATCGTTGATGCGCCGTACAAATATTTGTATTTTATGACTTTACATACCGACGCTTTCGTGAGCGCGCGGTTTAATTTCTCCAAAGTAATGTTCGCCCTCGCGCGCGCGCGCGCGCACGATATAAATCGCGGTAAATCTGAGGAACGCTAAGCGCGAGTCGATATTTCACCGAGGCGTATTTTATATTGTCCGCGGTTTCCCATTATATCGACAAAATCCGCGCCAATTGAGCGGACAAAGACGTTATTAAGCCGCATTTTCGCCGCACGTCGACGTTTTCTACAAAAAGTTTTAACTGACTAGAGATTTAAAGCTGATTATATTATTTTGTAGTTATCAAATTTGATAAAAAAATTCAGTTGACAAGAGATTATTATTTTGTAATTATTATAAATTCGATAAAAGGATTTAAATTGGCAAAATAGATCTGCAACTTCTCTGTTGGATTGGGGAAAGTTACAGATTCGGATATTAAAAAAAGCTTTTCATCCTACGGAAATCTCATTCTCTCGTTCCCTTGGCGAATAATTCGCGAGCGTATTACAATCGGCGGAATATCATTATCGCCCCATTCGCATTCATAGAATGCACTGAGCGCACGGTGTTCGTTTCACCGCCAACTATCTGGGAAACATCGACTCATTATATTAAGTCGGTTCGCCGCTACGACACTATTCTAAAACAGCGAGTCGCGGATGCGTTTAACGCGGAGATTCTGGCTGCCAACGAGCCGTAAAACCCAAGAAAGAAGTCGCGAAAGAAGAGCGGTGGGAAGGAAAGGAAAGAGAGAGAGAGAGAGAGAGAGAGAGAGGGGGGGGGGAAGGAGGGAGAGAGATAGAGAGGGAGAGGGAGAGAGATCGTCAGCGTGTCATATGGCCGCAGTTTCATTTCCGCGGGAGTGCATTCGCGGTGCCGCGCGCGGTGACCCGAGGGTGCTCCTTTTGGCTGCTTTATCGCCATTATTATTAAGAGGCGGCCTCCATCCGCATCCTCCTCCTCCATCTGGAGCCTTGCCAATGACGCGATACATCACGCGATACACTGCACGTGTATGTAGCACGATTCGGGGAGAAATTCGATTATCTTAATGTTCTACCTGTATTTCATCTTTATTCTTAATATTAGTCAACCACGTATTGATTATATAACTCATATAGCTGCAAATAGAATATGTGGGATAAACAAATATTAAGAACTTAATAGTGAGAGTGAAAGAGATTAATCTTATAAAGATAATCTCATTATATAAAACATTATATTAATATTTTTTGAAAAATATAATTTCTAAGAAATACACTGAGAGAACAATATCTAAAAGATCAAAAATATTTATTCGGTGGGTACTAATAACATATGTACTTAAATTCTTTTGTTTAAATGGAATCAATGATTGCTTAAAAAGTTAAGGTTTTAAGAAAATTTTCTTAGTTGAAAAATTTCTTTAGTGTGTCAAATTTATGTATAAGTAAATATATTATTAATATATCCCTATATCGAATAAATATTTTTATTTAGATTTTTTCTCCTACGATGTAGAATTTATGATATATATCTTTTATATTATATTACAAGATAATATAAAAGATATATACTTTTATATATTTTACAAGATAATATCATTACAAGATTATATCATTATAATAATATCAACAATTATAACAATATCTCATTACAAGAAATATTTGTATCTTGCCGGATTCTATAATTAATTCCAACAAGCGACACACTTTATAAGTCGACCTGAAATTTTAAACTTCAAGCCGGATCGAGATTTTAATTCCGCACTAATTTTACATATTTTATTTAGCTGAAAAGAACCGGAATATCGAGGTAGAGCATTATTTTATTAATTCCCTTTGACGCGCTACAGATGCTTGTTACTTTTTTTTTTCTAAGTGAGAGAATCGAAATAATCGGCAAGGAAGTATGAGAAAATTACGCGCGTTAGTCGTCAAGTATCGTTGCTCATCAGTAATGAATGTAAACATTCGGCAACAAAACGAGCCCGCAATCAAAACACTCGCAAGCTCGAAGGACGCGTTCCGTTAAGGTCGTTCTACATTAGTTGCAAGCAGCTAATCGCAAGATCGCATTGTTGCAAAGCGCAAAACTCTTGCGATATGAGCTTCTACATTTCAATCGTTAGTCGCATGTCACAGCCAAAGTGACGAGAATATTTCATTAACATAAGACTCTGTCACAGGAAAAAGGAACCGACGTTAAGATGAACATGCAAAGCAGTACCTACGTTTAAATATGGAAGCGAACAAACAAAAACAAACAGGGTAAAGTTGACGCTATAAACCAATATATGCGGAGCTCGACTGATTGGTTGTCGCAACATCGCAGAGGCGCAAACTTTGGACTTTGGCAAACCTTGCGATTACTGCTTGCGACTAGCTTACAACCGGAAATAGTGCTGCTTGCGATCATGCGATTGGCTGCTTGCAACTAATGTAGAACGGCGTTTAGGCCCGATCCACACTATCGGTCCACTCACGATCCAATTAATTCTTCCATTGTTTATAAGGTACGTATCCTATGAGTAACATTACAGTTCCGGTCTGGTCTCGCTCCGCTCTCGCTCCAGCAATGTTTCTTCCAAAGAATATTTTGCTGGAGCGTGATCGAACTTGTCCGATAGTGTGAACAGACTTCCGATCAATTTTTCAATTTTTGAGAATATTATTTTGAATGTGCCTGCACTCATTCGAAAATATTTGACAAATTTATTCTCATTGTCTACTAAATGGGAATATAATGTGAAATATTCTTCTTCAGTTTTTCTATTGATCAAAGTGGGATGAACCCACATAGATCTTTTTCTTATCTTTCATTTTGTTTTACACTTCTTACTTTCTCTATCTTTATCGTCCAGTGCCACAGCAATTATGATTAATTCTTTATCAGAATAGCGCAATTTTTCGGGAAAAAATTTAATGAACTTCACAACGGAAAGTAGAAACTGTACTGGTCATTTAAGATTGGATCGTGAGCGAATCGATAATGTGAATATTCAAGGAATATGATCGGGCCGTGAGCGGAGCGTGAACAGACCGTTAGTGTGGATCGGGCCTTACATGTTCGCGAGCGTTGCGAGCGTGTAACGGAACACCGCCGAATGGGTGCGTTCAGCGAACTCAATGGTTGCACAACAGTTGAGTAAATCGTCAATGTAATTGGTCTAGATTTAGGGATCTAACAGTAAGAACCAATAATCGTTAATTGCTCACTGAACGCTTTTTCCGCTGAACACGTCCAATGACGCACACGCCGCGCGCGCGTGCACGAATCGCGTATTAAGCACAGATGTCTATACTAAACTAGGTTGCTAACAGGCTCTAAAAGCATATAACGGCTTGTGTCCGATAGAGTTTCCGGTGCATGCGAGAAAATAGCCGCTACCGCCACATATTTTCACTACGTTTAGTCATAAAATTCTTTTGTTGAAAATGAGCAGAGCAAATAACGTCCAACAGCATCTATTTTTTTGTTACGACATTTTTTGATGTAATAAGATGCTGGCTTTTTTGGTTTTACGACAGTAATTTAATGGTCACGCTGACTCACATTGTATGTTGTACTCACACAAGTGATACGTCACACACACAAGGTTACACACACAGGACCGCCGCCATTTTCTCGCATGCAACCGGAAACCTTATGCAACACACATTCGAAGTTCTTGTTAGCAATCATAGTTTAGTATAGACATCTATGGTATTAGGTTAGTTATTCATGCCGCGTGAAAAAAATATTTCGCGCATTGAAATACGCTGTGCCTCATCGGGCACATTGGAACTGTAGAATCACGTTCGGCATTCTTCCGCTGCATCCTCTACATTCTTTTGCGATTTGTTTTTGCAGAAGGCTCGTAAAGTGCAAAAAGTGCCGGAAGTACAGACAGTGCGGCAAAGTGGAGCTAACAAGAGCAGATCCCTGGCGGGACGGCCATCTTGTTATTCGAAGTGATCGCGGAAAGTCTCGCTATGCGTCTCGCGCAAAGTAAT